GTGCTCATCTAAAAGTCTGCTCTACCTCTTTATTTACAGGTGTGAAGGCTCAGATTGTACTGACTGATTCTGAACCAGTGGTGAAGAGACCAGGAGAATCACATAAACTGACATGTACAGCCTCTGGGTTCACATTCAGTAGCTCTTATATGCACTGGGTCAGACAGGCTACTGGGAAGGGACCGGAGTGCATCGTTTGGATAAGCAATAGTGGTGGTACCACTTACTACTCCCAGTCTGTTCAGGGCAGGTTCACCATCTCCAGAGACAACAGCAGGAACCAGCTGTATTTACAGATGAACAGCCTGAAAGCTGAAGACACGGCTGTGTACTACTGTGTCCCCGGCCCACCATATAATTCTGCCTATCGGGGTAAAGGCACGCAAGTCACTGTCATCAACGGTAAGTCCTCACTGTCTCACTGTACCTTTATAATTCAATATCTTTTATTTTATTTGTTTCCTATGGATATAGATGGATCAGAGTAATTTCTTGTTCTTTGTCAAGTCCCACAAACAGTCTTGGTGTTTGCGGTCTAACGGTCTACTTTGGGGAATAAGTGCAACAAATGTATTACTATTGATTTTATTCTTGTACGGTTTAAAATAAATCAAATAACAACAGGCTTGTGTTCCGCACTCCTTCATCAATGCACAGCTATGCCTGATGTATGTTTTAAGATGCTTTTTAATGCTACGCTTAGCTGAATTATGTTTAAAATCGCACAAACAATAAAACTTTAAGTACAATAACTTACTGGGATAAATTATTTGAATGTACTGATTAGATTTTATTGCCCAGTTTCTCTCAGAATAACATATAAAATAAATACTAAACTACACATAAAACAATAACAATAAAGGTGACTATTGATTAAGTACATTTAAAGCTACCTTTAATTAAAAATAAACAGATATTTTAAAGCATCTAACGAAGGGAACATTTGTCTGATTTAAAAGAACAATAATTTAATAAAATGTGCTTCCTCAACCTGCCAGTAACCACTGGCCAAGCTGAGAGTGGAAACCCACCATGCATTTGCCAAACTGTCCAAAGCATCTTGAATTCTGGAAAATGGATAAGCGTTTTTGTTTGTTACCTCATTGAGTTTACCATAGTCCACAAATATATGGTTACAAATTAAGTGGGACCCTGCATTGTGCCATTTTAATAGGGCTAGGGCCACCTGTACCAAACCGGCATGTAGTTAGGTTGGCGCCCTAGATCACATCCCCCATTACTAAATACTGCCGCATTACACTGTTGAAGTGTAATTACAAGTGGAGTCAAAAGACTCTCTGTGGAATCAACTGCCATCCACCCCCAGCTCCACCTGCTGCCCCCAGTCTCCTCCGCTTTGTTCTGCTTTTACATCAGAGGAGAAGGTACCCAATTTCATGCCCAGTTTTAAGACCCTCAGTTACATTAATGACCCATACAGGCGCCACCCCTGGTCTCACTGCACACACCACCCGTGCCACACTTTTTGTACCACCATGTCTCAGGCAGATATCAATGGTAAGAGCAACATGTGTTATTCAAAATTATTACTGCCCCATACTTGGATAAAAAAAATCAGTATCCAGTTCAATCTCAAATGTAATATCAGCCATTAAAAACTGGGGCCAAGGAGTCAAATTGACACATTGTCTGCCACCATCCTACCACACGCACATCACTTCCATTGGCTGCTGAAGTTACCCTTTGGTATCTTATGAAATCTCTCTTCTCTTTCGTTAGCTGCTTCGTTTGTTGAAAGAAAAATTAGAGGTTAGAAGGGTTGGGTGAACCATGGGATTGTTGTTTTGTCTTAGGCAAGAAGATGTTGTTGTGGGGATGTTGTTTGTTCTTGTGGACTCTTGAGAGGAACTGTGCTGGAGGGACCAGGCTGTGGAGCACCCTGACCTGGCATGCGTCAGGGGAATGGTCATAGTTAAAAAGACAGGATACATCTGGTAGCTGAGAAGGGAAGCTGGGGCTTGTGAGGGAAGGTTGCCATGGTAATGGTGAAGCTGGGAGGGGAGAATCCTGTTTGCAATACTTTAAGTCATATTGTGATATCACCGGTACAATTGCATAATCACTGTCAGTACAAACAATGTAACAACAGAACAATAGGTAATCAGTTAATCAATAATATAATCATAATAAACACACAATAAACAAGGGTGGAGGTCATGAGACCACTGCAAAAAATTGTGTTTCAAATTTAAGATAAACTGTTTCTGTTTCTTGCCTAACTTCTTCTGCTACACCCAACAGTGTCTGCATTTGCTGACCATTAGGTGATTTTGCAGCCACACCTCATACCCTGGAATCCTGAGCCACTGCTACACTTTCTAAGCTCCTAATAAACATCAATTCTGAAGCGAGATTAATGGCTTCTTCAAGGGTTTTTGGTTTAGCACTATGGAGGTTTATATGCAATTGTCCCATCGCAACATGCTCAACAGAGTGATCTCTGGGAAACATATCTGGGGCAGCATTATCAGCTAATGGATAAGCTTAAAAAATCAGCCAGTATCATGAACTTCGAATGTCTCTGCCAGTTTCATTCAGTAACCGTCACCGTGATAAAAAATTTGTGCGGTTCCAATCTTCACTATTGCATGGTTCAAGACATCTACTCAAGACATCTTTAAACTGGAAATAATTAGTGGGATTCGCGCACGATAGCCCCACATGAAGTTCCCAGACCTGACCGGACAATAAATGGAACATGATTTTTTTGTTTTAATAGGTCATCCTAAACATTCACTGAACAGCAGCCAAACTGCACAAGCCAATAAGACCATTCAGGGCCAATCAGACCATTCAGGGCCACTACCTGCGAAGGTCTCGGCCATATATACTGGATGCGTTGCGGGTGATAAGGGTGCAGGTGTCTGCAGCTGATTCTCTGGAGGCACCACTGTGTTTTCATGGGGCATTATTTGCAATCTCTGGGTCCGACATAATTCACTCGGTCCCACCGGTACCACCAGTGTTATGAACCCATGAACCCCCCAGTTATAACTGATGAAAGTTTCAGCTGCCCCCCCCCATTTTGGTCAGACCAGAGGCTGCACATACACACAGAGGACATGACAGCACAGAGGATTTAAAAAATATGCTTTATTAATAAACTACAAACCAGGTCCTCCACTACAAAACAGGAGAGTTACAGGAGAATTCCCGTGTACTTGTTCAGATACCCCCCCCCAGGTCTTGTATCCCAATCGGAACAGTGACCACTGGGTTCACACTGCAGTGACTAAGGGTGAGGCGAATAATCAATTTCCCACACTCATGTATTGAGTACCTGCAACGTTTAACTATCTTCATGGGCTGCAGCTCTACCAACCGCGACCAACTCAACACAACCCCAAACCATCCCAATGCCCCACTCCTCTCTCTCCTGAATTAACCCACCCCTCAGGTACACCTCATCACCAAGTACTCCTCCGTCATTCAGTGCGCCAGAAATACCAGCTGTCTGACATTTATCAGTACTTAGTGATGACATTTATCAGTAATCTTATATGTTCCTTCATTTCTTTCTCTCTTCCTCTCCCAGCCCTGTCCAGTAGGTCCTATTTGGATGTGACCCTGAAGCCCCCAAGAGTAAAAGAGATGTTCATAGAAAACAAGGCTGTGCTGGAATGCATCATCACTGGACAGGATGAAGCAATAAAAGAAGTTGAAGTGACCTGGATGCTGGACAGTGTACAGGTGACAGATAAGATTACACAGACCGCTCCAGAAAAGGCAGATCATCTCTTCAGAAGGAGCAGCATCCTGACTCTGGCAGCGAAGGCCTGGGAAGGTGGCAAAACAGTGACATGCAGTGTGCAGCAGAAGGGTGGTCCTACTACCACAAAGACTCTCAGTTTTGGGCAAAAAGGTATATTTCACAATACCATAATGTTTAACATGTTAAAATCAAAAATAGAAATATTTTTTATTTAAGATGACATTCAGAGATCCAAAGAAAACTCACCTATATGTTTTTAAAAACTGATTTCAGGTACTATGAGACCAACAGTCTCCATCCAAACACCATCTCCTGAAGACCTTGATGGAAAAAGTGAATTCTTCCTGCTCTGCCTGGTAACAGGCTTCTATCCTGAGGAAATATACATCATGTGGCAAGTAGATGGGGGCCAGTATGAGGAGAGTGTTACTGGAGAGCCATTCTGGACTGGGGATAAATACTCGGTCACCAGTCTGTTTAAGGTATCAAAAGTGGACTGGGACAAAGGCACCAAGTACAACTGCAACGCTAGACACGCATCTCAAAAGGGAACACAGATACGTTCTCATCCTGTCTCCAAATTAACAGGTAATTCACTGGAATGTCCTGTATGACCTGATCGAGTCTATCTGTGTAAATGGCACTAAAAAACCACAATGAGCAGAGAGCTGCAGCACATCTATTACGAACCCCAGTGTAGGGTTGGGGCGTAACAGAGTGGAAGGGAAAGGGGAATGGGAATAAGGGAAACACAGGGTGTGGTGCACAAGGGAACACACGTGGACAAAGGGGTATCGTTATATATTTTTTCTTATTTTATTTACACGCGACAGACACAGAACAACAAACCTGGTGCAAAAACTTCTGGGGTCTGTTTCACAAAGCAGGATTACTTGCTTAGCCAGATAACTTGCCAGATTTAAGGTAGTCTGGGCTAAATATACCTTATTTTCATCAACTTACATTTGGCTAAGCAAGAAATCCTGCTTTGTGTAACAGACCCCAGTGGCCTGTACTACGAAGCGGGGTTACTGGTTTATCGGGGTAACTTGTCAGATTTAAGGTACCACAGTTTAAATGGACTTCATATTCGCTCACTTGCCCAGACTACCTTAAATCCAGCAAGTTACCCCGATAAGCCAGTAACCCCGCTTCGTAGTACAGGCCACAGGAGTGATTATAGCCAAAACAATAAACAAAAACCCGACTACCGAACAAAACCCAAACCTAACTGAACTAGTAAAAACAAAGAACACAGTAACAACAAGTCCTACACCTTACTCCCTAACCAAATCATAGTGTACACAGAGTCTTTCAAACAAAACGGTAGTGATGTTAAGCTTGACACCGAAGCTCCGAGGCATGTGTCAAAAAAAACGATACAGTGCGTTCTGAAGCAGAACTTCAACGCTTCTTCCGTTCTACCCTAAACACGTGACCATGGTGATCCGAAGCTTCTTTCTGCGCTCAACCACGTGACTGCTTCAGAAACGTGAAAATGAGGCGCGAACCTCAGTGACCCCAATATACCACATACTGAAGACCCTTTGAGGTTCTGGGATATGCACCAGGCTGTGTATCCACACTTATACGAACTTGCAGTACAGTTTTTATGCACTCCAGCGTCCTCCATTCCATGTGAGCGGGTATTCTCCAAAGCAGGAGAAGTGGTGAATAAAAAACGTAACCAACTTAGCCCCCGCACTGTTCAACAAATACTGTTCCTGAATAAAAATCTGTAGACTAATGGCCCTCTTCCGCTACACAAGCACCCATTCCCAGTTAAGTCAATGGTTTCCCAGTCCACAAGAAGTCACATTCAATTTCACCAGGTCATTAATGTTCATGTCACACTACAGACCATTAGAATTTTTGCCAATTTATAAATATTCAGATTCACTGCACTCACTCAAAATTAAGTGTTATTTCCTTATTTGACCACTTGGTGTCACTAATGGTCAGCAATTCGGAAGGCTTTGAGTACTGAACCATTTTTCGACACACTTGAAAAGGAAGCTTCAGTGCTTTGAAAAGCTTCGCTTTGCCATCACTACAAAACGGCAATCAGTCCCTACGCACCAGGCACACACACAGCACATACACAGAGCAAAGCGGAAGTCGTAAACAAAAACCGGGCGAAAGATCGAAAACCAGAAAGCAAACAAAACCAGGGCAGAAGTACAGAGAAAGGGCAAAGCGAGAAATTGTAAACCACTGTGATGAATGGGTTAATAATGGCTAAAAACATCCTGGATGGATTTCTGTCATCTTTACAAGCCCAAGGATTATTTCCTTTGTGTTCTGGCAATGAAGTGCCTTTAGAGTGTTTTTGTACGAGATTTGAAGCTGTTTCTGATTGATATGAATAGTGTCTGAAGATCAGTCTGGCTGAATGACTGAGATCATGACCCATGGAGGTCAGTTTCCTGTTACTGCTCATCTTATATGTTCCTCCATTTCTCTCTCTCTTCCTCTCCCAGTCCTGTCCAGTAGGTCCAGTTTGGATGTGACCCTGAAGCCCCCAAGAATAAAAGAGATGTTCATAGAAAACAAGGCTGTGCTGGAATGCATCATCACAGGAGAGGATGAAGCAATAAAAGAAGCTGTAGTGACCTGGATGTTGGACAGTGTACAGGTGACAGATAAGATTACACAGACCGGTCCAGAACAGGCAGGTCATCTCTTCAGAAAGAGCAGCATCCTGACTCTGGCAGTGAAGGACTGGGAAGGTGGCAAAACAGTGAAGTGTAGTGTGCTACAGAAAGGTGGTCCTACTATCACTAAGACCCTCAGTTTTGGGCAAAAAGGTATATTTCACAATACACTTTCACAGTTAAAATCATAAATATTTTTATTTAAGATGAAATTCAGAGATGTAAAGAAAACTCACCTATATGTTTTTAACAACTGATTTCAGGTACAACGAAACCTACAGTCTCCATCCAAACACCATCTCCTGAAGACCTTGATGGAAAAAGTGAATTCTTCCTGGTCTGCCTGGTAACAGGCTTCTATCCTGAGGAAATATACATCATGTGGCAAGTAGATGGGGGGAAGTATGAGGAAGGTATTACTGGAGAGCCACTGAAGACTGGGGATAAATACTCTGTCACCAGTCTGTTTAAGGTATCAAAACTGGACTGGGACAAAGGCAACAGGTACAGCTGCAACGCCAGACACGCATCTCAGGAGGGAAAGCCCTACATGAATAATCATTCTGTGTCCAAGTCAGCGGGTAATTCACTGGAATGTCCTGTATGACCTGAGCCTGTCTGTGTAAATGCCACTGAAAAACCACAATGAACAGAAAGCTGCAGCACATCTTTGTAGATGCCACTGAGTTTCCTTATACTCCATAGTCACTGCTGTTCTAATCTCATGTACAGTATACATGAAAAGATCAGTGCAGTTTTCAATGGTTCCGATATTCTGATATGTTAGACTGCCTCAGGAAGTCCACTGTTGTAATTTTGTGTTCACGCAGTATGATAATCCCCTGCTGTTTGCCAACTTAATTTTTTTTGGTCTTTTAAATTTAATATCTAATACAGTGGTACCTTGGTTTATGAGCATAATTCGTTCCGGAAACATGCTTGTAATCCAAAGCACTCGTATATCA